GATGGAATATAGAAAAGCAGTTTCACAATTTTATTCAGAAAAATGTTATATTGTCCTCTTATTTCAGAAGTGTACCTATTAAATATAAACCACAAACAATTTTTCGTCATATCTGAAAATCTATAAGCACATTAGTGGGAAAAATAATCTCCTGAATCATGCTGGAATTACTGAATTAGTTATTCCTCTTTATCACAGCTTCTCTTGGTCTGTAGTAAAAGAGATTATCTGTGAATCTTTACCTGCAGTTGTAAAGGCCAGATTAAAATATTCTGAAATCATACTGTCATCATGAAAACTGAAGTTGCATGATTTGATGAGATCAGTTTTTGACTCAGTTTGTTTATCTAGTGGTAGAGAAAGGTGCACTCTTGCTATTTTTACATGATGGACATAAAATGATGGGATTCATCTTGCCTACATTTAGTTGCGTAAATTAATCGTGTAGCTCTCTTGATATCTGATAAAGAGACATATCTATCTACAAAGGTCAGTTAATCTCCTCCTGAACAGAGAAATGAAGAGATGCACATAAATGCTTATTGAGAGCTCTCATTGCAGCAGTGCAGAATTCAAGACAAATAATTTATCTGTCACAAAATATGCATGTTCATCCACTCTGAACTGCTTGCAGAGTGGTTGCAGTTTCTCAGACTCTCGTAGGCCTACATATATTGCCTACACATACATGCAGTGGTCTAAATAGCAAGTGGTTTTTTGTGGTTAGTTACCACTTTGAATTAACTTCACTCAAGCTGTTAATTTTCTGTAATACTCATAACATGATACATCCAAAGGAAGAGTCTCATTTAATCTTTCTTTTATTCCAATAGCAAAGTGAAGAAATAAGGTAGGTAAAAAGCAACTGAGATCTATAGGGAAAGCAGCCTTTTCATGGGTAGCTCTTAATTTATGTCTTCATCACAATTCTCTTGAGTGCTGCAGTCCCCTAATATCTGTAGCAGTCAGAATCCTTCTATTTGTGTTGGGTTTTATGAGCTTTTTGTGATAGAGGGAAATACAAAATAAAAAGCAAATTAATTATATAATTAGGCAATTGTATTTTCTTCAGTACAGTACTTCCTCTATTTTCTGCAGTTTTCTTTTTTGTCTACCACTTCCTCTGATTAGGAGTTGGATATTTGCTTGCTTTCCTTTGATGTCCTTCATAGGATCCTAGGATAAGTCAGGATGCAAGGGACCTGCAGAGGTTTCTAGTCCAATGTCAGCAATAAGATCAAGTCAGGTTGCTCAGGGCTTTATCTAGTCTGATCTTTACAACCTCAAAGGAGGCAGACTTTACAACCTCTCTGGGCAGCCTGTGCCATTCACGGTCTGACTGTCCTTACATTAATTCTAAACTTGTTTTGTTTGTTAATAAGTGTATTGCTCTACTATACACTGTAAATGAATAATACCAAGAATAAAAGATTTTGTGTTTTCTCCTCAAGATTAGTTTCAGAGTGAGAAAAATACAGAGAATTAGCTACCCATTACCAGCACATGATATATTGCTGACAGAACTAACACAGCTCTGGACTTGAACCCTTGGTAGTAGAAATTAGGATTTTTATATTTCAGAACAGTTTCTAGACTGTATCTGACTGGGCTGGCAGAGCACGTTGGTGCCTGTCTCTCGTTCTCCATTCTAAGGGTACGAGTTTTCTAGAAGTACTTTACTTTGAATAGTCCTGTTGAAAATCAGAAAGTGTGACAGCTCCTATTTGTTTTCCTGATTGTTCCATTGGTTTTTATTGATTTGAAAGTTGTTTCTTTATGAAGGGAATAAATGGATCTCCCCTGTATGGAAGCAAGGTGGCACTTCCCCTGGGAAATGCTTTGGGGGACAGAAGTGTCCATCTGCTGGTGTGGACTGTGGAGAGCAAGAGTCATAGCAAAAGGACCTGGGAACCTGTAGGTTATGCAGAACCTAAGAGGCTGCAGAGAAGCGTGGAGAAAAAATAACCAGGCCTTGGTGGTGATTGAAAACAACTTCTTGGGATCAAAGAGTACTTGGCAGTTTGCTTCAACTCAGAAATCCACTTAGTTGGTTGAAACCAAACTTAAAAGGAAGGACAGGCAAAGGGAGAGGTGCTCATATCCATTGTGTCTGATCTAGTTGCTCCAAGTGTTCTCAGTCATAAATTCCCTCTTAAAAGTAATTCAATCTGACTTTTTCAGTTTGAAAGCCTTTCCTCTTCTTTGGAGATATGTCTATAAGGAAAAGGTATAGACAGACGCATCTCAGTCCTTTGGCTGACTCTGGGTTCTGTCACAGAAAATGTTAGCACAGAACATGTTTTTTTGCTAAAATTGGCTTGTTTAATTTGACTTGCTGACTCATTTTTCCAGCTGGTCTGTCATTCTACTCAATTCCAGATGAGGCAATAGGAAAAAGAAAACTCTTTTGAATGTTCCACCCTCTTGCCAAACCAAGTAACAATTAAAAACTCTAATTTTCATTGCAGTTTTTTATCTCTGTTAATTATCCAAGGAACAGTAAATCAGATATATTGTCCTCTGCTTGTTGTCAATAATTTAAATTCTAAATTCTTTATAGATTAGTTGCAGATTTAGCATGCTGCTCTTTTCCCTAAATTACATACCATTTCGCAACTTGAATCCAATGCAGTGTTTCATTTTTATATTTGAGATCAAATGCTAGACAGTCCAGTCTAATTGACTCATGTGTTTCATACACACACAAGTAAACCCACATGACTTTGTCTTAACTTAATTACTTAGTTTTAATCCAAAAGAGACATCAGGTCACTCAACTATCTAATTAGTGGCCTTCAGTGGGGTTTTTCTTATTGCACTGCAATTTTTGAGAAGAATGTATTCTGAATCAAGTGTTTAGTGGACACTAAACTGGGAGCAGTGGTGAGTCCAAAAAAAAAAAAAGTAGTAGGCAGGGACCTTGTGAGCTGAGAGATACCAATAGAAAATAACATTGTGATATTCAGCTTGGACAAAACACATGGTAATTAAATAGAAACAGAAAGATCCATTAGAAGAGTTATAGCTGACATTTTGTAAAAGAGGTCAAGAGCAAACGGGGGATGGCAAATGTAACTTGAATTTACAATGGGATACAGTATTAAAAAAATAAATGAGATGTAGACATATCAGGTGAAGTCATGTTGACACTATCAATACTGATATTTTCAAGGTAATAGAAGTTATTTTTCATCTGTCTCTATCCATGTAAACTATGAGAACAAAATTTTACCATCACACATGTACAGTCATTCCCATACCTGTCTGAGTAACTAAAAGTGTAATTGGCTTGACTCATTACTGGGAAATGACCCTGTATGGGATAGTCTTATTAGTTTTATTGAAAAACTTCAAATTTTGTCTGTATTAAAAAAAAAAAGCAAACCAAGCATCTGTGTCAGCATTCAGTGCAGCAGAGTAGTTGCTTTAATTCTGATTTTAACTGCAGAAACAAAGGGCTTATATGGATAAAGCAAATCAAAACATATTGTTAATTAAAAATGACATCTAGCACAAAGGTTTGTTCACCCTGCTTGCATATAGAGGTCAACACTAATAAAGTTTCACCATCCTCTAGCTGCTGATTGATGATTTGGAGCTATTCCTACAGCTCTTGATTAATACATAAGCTGTGATTATGTCACATGATATTTGTTGGTTATTTGACAAATGAAGGTTTAGGTAGTAATCGCACATGCTAAATAATGTGATGAAAATTTGGATAAATAATCATTTAAAGACTTAATGATCAGTAATTTACAAGGAGTCTCTGCAATTTTATATTATCAATATTGTTTAAAGAAAACATTACCTTATTACTCAGTTATAGCCTGTATGCAAATTAATTGTATTATGTTTTAATTTTAAATATATTCATTAAAGTTCCATAGAAAGGAATTCATATTCTGATTTCACATGTTGTGATCTGTGATTTGTAAAGTGAAGTGGTAAAGTTAAAGGTCCATAAAGAAAGAGATGTCTGAAAGGAAAGGCAGTCTGGTCCTTGGACATTCCTTCAGAGGGACATGATAACAGTGAACAGCTATTAAAACTGTTGGGAAAATATTTTTCCCACCTTTTACAGAAATGCTCAGCTTTGGAGTGAAATATTCAGCCGGAAGCTGAAACATAATATTTGTAATTTTTCTATGATGTGTCTTGTAGGGGGTTTAATTTGTATACAGCAATACCAGATTTTGGGTTTAATTTTTCTCATTCAATTCAGACAATTTGCATGGAAAATAATTTCAGCTGAAAAGCCTGTTTTCAGTCCAAATCTTGGATAGAATTTGGTGAATTCTTCTGAAGCCATAACTCCCTTAGTTGCTGAGATAGATTGAGTTGCATTTGGTAAACAGAATGGAATTATGCTTAGAAAACACATAGCTTTAATGAATATCAAGAGCTTAAAGTGAAATATCAGAAGCTTAACCCTTCTATGGAGCTCCATTGGACTAATTTAGTGGTGTGACATGAAAAAGACTGACAGTCTGAGCAAAACAAGAATTTCTTTCCTGTAGTATCTAAAAAATTTATTTTCCCCTCCTCCCCAAATTATTTTATATCCTAAAACATACTGTTTTACATTGCTTTGAATTCTACTGCCATGCATATGTTCATTTTAATTCATTGGTGAGCATCTAATATTGATAGGAGATTTTGTCAACTAATTTAACAAAACCTGAAGAGTTATAATTACCACCCGGGGGGGGGGTGGGGGGGGAATTTAAATGGTTCGTGGGTGGTAACCAGTGTACCAGCTTTAATGTATAAAAGATGTATGAAAGAACATTCTTCTTGAGTTCTACTTTATGGACCAAATACTAGGAATACATAAAATATAATAAACAGTGTATCTATTATGGTGATAAAAAATGGAAAATTCACATTTTTGTTTTCTGTTCAAATGTATGAAAAATCCAGGTGTCATTAACTTGAGAGTCACAGCTAATTAATGACATATAGTTAAGTTATATGCATTGGTTTTTTAACTTGCATAGGTACGTGTGTTCACATTTTCTGTTGGTCAACATAATTATGACAAAGGACCCATACAGTGGATGGCCTGCGAAAATAAAGGTACTGTGTTTTTCTTTGAGACTATTCTTTGCCAGAGCTCTGGATAGGTGATGTCTTTATTATTGTCTAAAAATTACAGATTTTTTTCAGCCTGATTTTTAGCTTTATTGTATTTTTTAATAAAAGTTCCAAAAAGTTATTTGATTAAATAATGTGTATATAAATATATATAAGTAAAGAATAAGCTTCCATATTCATTTCTGATTATTTAACACTTTATATTATAAGAAAAATATCATGGTATTTTTTATAATAATAAGATATCATGGTTCAATTTTGAGAATTCTCATTGTAATAGCCATCTATGAAAAGATGGAACTGATGACAGATAAGAAATTTAGCAAAGCTGTTTTATATTAAGGGGTCTGGACAAAGGGATTTTTTGTTTGGTTAGGGGCTGGTTCGATTTCTTTCTGTTTTTCTCCAAAACTTACAAGGGACCAGATGAATTGCATTATTTTTCCCTTTTTTGATGAAAATATCTACATTATTCTTGCTGTGATTTCTTAGCTTCTAAGAGCATCTTACATTTTTTATTTTTATCCTGATTTCTTTATGTAGAAAAAAAAAAAGTTGAAAAGTTGAAAGTAAGGAAGTAAAATGCTTTCTCCTAAAATTTCTACATTAAAAATGTGGTCAGAAACATTTAAAATGAGTATAAGAAAGAGGTGTCTCAAATATCTTACAGTATAATTATGGAACAAGAGATAAGAGATAAATACAGATCAATAGAAAATAGATAAATTTATTTTACAAATCAGTGAGAAGCAAGAGGTGAGAGGTGGGACAGATTTCAAAGGGTCTTGAAAATTAAGCCTGCTAGGGAAGGAGGATAAGATACGATTCTCAGGCATAAGAATAACATAAAGCAAAGATAAGAGAAAGATACAGATACAGAAAAAAATGATATAGAAGAAACCATAGCCTGTATGAATAGCATACATATCATAACCTCATGAATCCCTCAGTATGCTGGCAAGTTATGCAGAAGACACTACAACTTCATGAAGACCAGATTGTATTGTTAGATAATTACAGAAAATCAATGTTTGTTTTTTTGAACAGGGATTTTTTAACTAACGTCTTTGTATCTCAAAATACTGTGTGCATGTGAACCCCATGTTTCAAAACAAATGAGGACCAGCTGGCTTAAAGCATAACTACCTATGTCATTTGATTATCAAGGCAAAATTATCATTATCTTCTGTCCAAAACGGATGTGATTATTTTTTTGCATATCCAAAGAAGCAATTTTTTATTTAATTTTTCCTTAATTAGAAGTTTTAATTTATTATCCTGTCATGCATTGCTTATGGCAAAGTAAATGACTAACGTCAGTACTTTTACGTCTCCAGTCCTCAACCCCTTCCTTCCAATCTGACTGACAACTTGCATGGTCGTAACTTGGATCTCAGTGCCTGTCTTTTCAGTCTTATTAGTCTTGCCTATGGGCAAGATTTTTAATTCAAACAAATAGGTGATAAAATCAGTGATTATGAATAAAGACATTTCTGATGTCTAGTTAGAAGAAATACCAGTTTGTTTTCTTCATCCTTTCCACAGAGTGCCTTATATATTGTTCTGCTATGAACTTCACTATTGTGGCAGGCTGTAGCTATACTTGCATTCCTGTATGCATTCAGCATATAATTACATTGCTGTCACAGTGTATTAAAATAACCATTAAATATACTTGCACATCAGAGTAACTGGGAATCCAGGAGTACAAATTCAGTACATTATCTCAGCTTTAAAAACAGACAAAAGAAACACATTATATGCTCTCACTGTTCAAGAGTAAGTAACTAGCTTGGCCTGTATGGCATGGTGACCAATCATAGGTGGCCACGCATTGTAATGGCATCTACCAAAAAAGTATTCCATTCATACGTGGTATTTTCTATAAAAATTAAATTGGAAATTGCAAGCTAAGTGAAATTCCTCAAGATGAAGAGACTAGCAATATATTACAGTAAGGTGGTATTAATTCTGTTCCAAATTTTAGGTTATTACTATGAAATTCCGTCCATTGGAGCCATAAGAATTAACACCCAGGTAAGTGTGTTGGCCAAATGCAGATACAGTTGTAACACAAAGAACTGGAGTAATTTCTGTTCTTAGATATGTTGCATTTCATGTCTGTTTGAATCAATGAAATTTTAAGTTATGCTACATTAAAAACAGAGGAAAAATTAAAGCTTTCTTCTACATATGAGATATTATTCTGTTAAAGTATTCTAATTTATTTATTCATTTTTAATAGTTTCAGTGAGGCAGTTCACAGTGGGATCCCTGTTTCCCTGGCCAGCTGGCCCACAGCAGCTCGCATGCACACCAGGCGCGCTAGCATCCCCTAAAGCAGGTTGGCCATGTGTACACAACATAGCATTTGAAGTGATCTGCATTCTGCAGACCTCTGCACAAGGACTAGGTTTGGGGCTCAGTTTTCCTCCTGGCCTTACAAGGTCCCTCTTTGATCCTGAGTTACGGAAACGATTTTTTTATAAAGTTCTACAAACCCGGTAATTTTTTATAAAATGCCTGGACATTCGTAGTCTGCCTCCTGCCATCTTACAGCATGATCCTAAGGGTTTGTATTACTGTGGGTCTGTGTGAAGGTGTAGCCCTGCTAGAGTATCGCAACTCAGCTGGGCAGAAACAGTGACCTGGTACGATCCTGCTTATAGGAGAGGTTCCTGGATTCATCCAGCCAGTCTGGGAGAGACACAGCTTTTTTCCTTCAAAAATAACGCAGGACAATTTTAGCAGACATGAGTGTAGTTAATTAAGGGCACAGGACCCTGGAATTATATGATGTGATCCAAACTGACAGTGTAGATGAACAGATATTATTTTCAGTTGTCTGAAAGCCCATGTATTCACATGTCCAGAAAAGCAGAGAAATATCATAGCAGTTCTTTGTCCTTCCAAGGCCAGGCATGACATTTTTTGGCAGAAAATAAGAGTCCTTTTTTTGGCTTGAATAACAGTCCTTTGATTCTGTTAAACTCTTCCAGATAGTGTCTGGCAAGAAATATCCCTAATATGATCAGACAAATAGAAAAGGTTGAAGACTGAAGCAAGTTTGATGGCATCCACTCCCAAACGAGACCAGAAGTCTGACATCTCATAAGATCACCAGCTTTAGCTGTACTCCCGAACTGAAGGCAGGAAGGGACTATGAGATTTTACAACTCTGAATTTTTTGTTTCAATAGAAGTTATGCAAGTTGTTGCTGTAGGAGCTTAACATACCCAGCTGTACCACCATTCACCCTCCATCGCCCACTCTCTCTTCTGGGTTGAAGGTTCTGTGATCTGCTTGTAATTTCATTATGTCATTAGCAATTAATTTTGGAACAAAAATAGTTGTAATTCTCACTTTGGGGAAAGAGAGCAGTGGTTATGGATGTGTAAGGTCCATGTGACTGAGACTGAAATACAGAAATTGCCTTGGCAGTAGATACTGCAAGCTGAAGTCTGAGTTGTTGGGTAGTAGAATTTTAAAGAAGTAACTAAATACTACTCTTATATTAGTGGTGAATTCTGACTACTTTTTTTTCCTGATATTTTAATTGTTTTTATTTCATTATTGTTTATTTTTTATGCTGTTTCTGGACTTTGATCTAATAACTGCCTTCTGATGAGTTTGTTACACTTTTTGGCAGGAATATCTGGATGTTTTGGGAAGACCAATGGTTTTAGCTGGAGAAAAAGCCAAACAAGTCCAATGGACAAATGTCTATCTGGATGCTCTGGTATGATCTGTATTTATCACTAATAAAGTAAGAATTTCAGCAAATCAGTAACTATGGGGTCCATTTTCCACAGTCCTGAGGACACAATTTCCTACAGTTCCAAACGTAATATTCTTGCATTTCCAGCATCTATACACTTCAACAGAGCAGTTTCCTGAACAGCTATTTCCAACGTGCTGGACATTACTTGCACCTAGTATCCTCCTAAGTGTCCTGAACTTTATCAGAGAAAAGCAATTTATCCTACACACAGATCTTTAAGTGTAGGTCATTGTTGTCCTCAAATTAACAAAAGAAGAAAGAAGCAAATAGTTTTCCAGTATTGTACCTGTGCTGCAGTAGAGGTCATCTGTTATGTTACTGGTGAGGAGGTCTTACTTTTTTCTTTTTTTTTTTTTTTTCACCCCAAAAGTATTGCAGGCAAAATGAAACCAGTCAATGTTACTGGGTATTTGTACAGATTTTGAACTTGGATCTTTAAACTATCATGGTGGTTGTAATTGCTTGCTTGCTAAGGTAATGATTTCTTTAGTTGGACAGTGTATATAATGGGGAAATAAACAAAAAGATATATGAAATGCTTTCCTTACTGCTGAATTTATCACTTTGGTCTTGTAAAACAAACATATTCAGGAAACTACGAAATGCAAAGTATTATTAGCAGGAATCCAATCTGCTGCTCTAGATAACCTTCTTCTGAGTAACTCTAACTAGGCAAAAATTACTCTAAAATGGTCATGTGGAATCATGTATTTATCCAAGTTCACATGGTCATCTAATGTCATGTCAAAATCCACTTCTTCCCGTCAGTCAGCATTACTGTAAAATTTTTATCAACACATCATAGAACTGAGCGTGACACAGAGGAACTAGTTTTCCTTTGGAATTTCAATGGCCAGAAGTTCATTAACCATGTTTTCTTGGTTACTATTGAGGTACTTACTGGAAACATAAAGGATGTTATGACGAAAGTTCATATGTTCTGTACATATCCTGTTGTAAAGCCAAAGCTAAATTTGTAACTGGGGATAGAAAGAGATTCATTTAATGAAGTAAAACAAGTGATACCTGCAGACTTCTGTTGCGTTACTTTATATTTTCAGTGGGTTCATTCAGTCTTTCCTTCAAGCTTTTCTCCATTCATGTGTTAATATGTGTTTGTGTATATATAATTATGTATATGTTTGTGTGTGCATACATATACTTATTTATGAAAAGGAGGACAACCCAAGCAAAACTGTTGAGGTAAAGGCTGAAATTTGTGGACTTTCTCATCACAGATGAGAGCATAAAGGCACAGGTGTATCTAATCCACTCTCGAGCCTTTTCCTGATTTTTGGTTTTGCCAACTTGTCACACTGGTTCTTTATCTTAAATTGCCTAAAGCAATTCCCTCCTGTAGGGCTTACCCTTCTCCTGCTTGTGCCTCACTGGACTTTTTCCTATCCTTTTTCTTATACTGTCCAGCAGCCTTTTGGGGGCTAAGGCTAAAATAATGCAAAGTGTATTACATGAGGCCACATTTGAACTGAGCTTAAGTGCAGGTTATGAAATCCTAAAGAGGTACTTTCATTTGAGGCTGTCTTTCAAGACTGTCTTCAATAATTTGATGTATTTGTGGCAATTCACACCGCTCTTCTTGCCCTGTTCCTTTGGGTTCTGTTACAGTGTTGCTCTGGCCTCACTTTCTGCAAGATAATCCCAGAATTTTCAGATACTTTTAGGTTTATGAGTTAGTCATAATTTATCCACAATTAATGTCCTCTCTATTTTTATATTTTAGTGGGGGGAGAGAGTGTTATTCCCCATACATACCCCTCTTGTTTCGTTATGTATATCTTCAATGCCCCTTCTAAAAAATATCCTCCTCTCTTTTCTTCTGATTCATCTCCATTTCTTGCTTCTCTTATTCTCCTAAAGCATCCACTTCTACTCCTCACCTTGCTTGTAACGTTACTAACTGTGATCCCATCACCTTTCATTTGATACACAAACTTAAGTTCATGAAGGATGGTGTAAAATTCAAAAAGGTGCTACTAGACTGAGCAAATGGAGAACAGATTTCATCAGAGTGTATTAATAAAGTATTACAGCTTATTTTTTTTTAATAATGAAAAAAAGGGAGAGAAGTGATATGGTTCCTCAGTAAAATGCATGGAAGGAGTACACATCAGTGAGGGGAAAAACATTTTGGAAATAAACCCCAAACATTAGCATAAAAAAGGTAGAAATCTACCTGTGCACAATCCAGAATGGAAAACAAAACTTTTCTGGCTATCTAAACATATGGTATTCTGGATCCTACTGTAAGTATGAGTTGTGATTGTTAATAAAGGAAAAACAAATTTCTTACATCTTCCCAAATAAGTGCAAATTCCTTGCCTCAGTACCAGAAGAGACTATGTGATTTTACAGAACTGATGATGGACACTACTGCAAGGCATTGAAAAGTAGTGATGATACGAAAAGCAGTAGTAGTATTACCTGTTGGATTTTTCTGTTGATTTTGCTTCTTTGTGGTTGTTGCTACTTATTTACTATCTTTAAGTTTGTGTTAGCTTTCTCCTTTTTTTTCTTTTTTTTTGTTTTGGCTTTTTTTTCCCCCTACTATCTGAAGTTTTTAATATAGTGGGTACTGTAGCTGTAAACATGTTTTCATAACATTTAGGGGTTTTTAAACTATTATATCCTAAGTTGTTGCACACCATCTATTTTTAAAAAGTGATTTATTATTCTCACTGACACAAGGACACACAAAAAAAGTAATTTTAACTTTCTATGCATAGAATCAATGAAGTATTATTATTTTTTTCTTTTTTTGCAAACTTAAAGTCAATACTTTAATCTAGTGGTTGGCTACAGTAATCCCTGGTTTATTCTAATGTATTATAGTTCAATATTTGTTATTTAACTAAAAAGTGTTTTTCTCCCCTCTGTATGTGGTTATTTCCTAGGAGCTGGGCCTTGTGATTACAGGAACTCTACCTGTCTTCAATCTAACAAAGGAACAAAATGGGAAAATAGTAAGCTGTTACTTAAAGAAAAAAAAAAATCAGTTATTTGAATTACATTTAATGCTAAATGCCTTGAAAAATGTGTATTTCCATAAAGCTTTCTACAGTTTAATTGTCTTGTATATCAGAAACAAAGAGGTCATCGCTAGTTACCTGATAACCTCCTGGGAACAAGGAAATGCAGATCACCCTTTTTGTAGTTCTGAGTTTCAGGGTATGACATTCCTTGATCTATCTCTGTGACCTGGTGGCAGTGGGAATGCATTAAGTGCTCAATAGATGGGAAATAGATGATGATATTATTTAGGCCTTGCCAAGAAAGGAATGCCCAGATAAATTTATAACAAATCTGTGAAGCTATGACATTTCAGGGTAAAGGGCAATGATGTAGAGTATTTAAATTAATTTGTTGTAGTGATAATAGAAAATAGCACTGTGTACTTAGATTAAAATCAAAGTATTAAATAAATACAGTTGCCCATCCCTATTACTGTTTGATATGGAATCAATTTATGTCCTCTTCACAAAATCAGAATGCTGCTTTTTTAAAATCAAACCTAGAATATACTTACAGTATGTGGTAAAATACTGTACATTTGGTGTGATATTCATGTTCAATCATGTCAAAATATACTGAAGTTTAAACAAGATATTCTTTGATTCAATTTCTCAGATATTACATAGACTCAGAATTAATAAATACAAATTTGATCACTACAATTTCTTTTATTTACTTTCAGAAGAGTTGTCTTAGTTTCCCTTTAAAAACAAAACAAAACAAACAAAGGTTTCATAATCTTATCTACGAGATAATGGAATTCACTGAGTCTGGTTGCAAAGTGAGAGACTGCTGATTATCAAAGGATGTCTTTCTGAGAAATAAAACAGCCATGGTCTAGTACAGAGGAACAAGAGGAGAACTTGAATCTGCTCAACTTATGTCTCTACATGAATTTTAGGCTACAGACTGCAAGATGCATCTTCCAATACATATTCCAAATTTATTTAATATGGAGAAAGGACTCAGGTGATCCTATGTAAATAACTGCCCTCCTTTTCTGTAGTAGGAAAATAAATTGCAAGTGAAGTAAATGTAGTGCCTGAGTCCTTGATTTCAAATGGTGATGATTGTTATAGTCACTAGGTTTTTTGGTTTTGTTGGGTTTTTTTTTTCATTCATCATTATACCATAGCCAAAAGAGGTTAATTATTTTGGGGTCTCACTCATCAATTGCCCCACCTAAGCAAGCAGTAGTAGCTCTATATTGGTCCTAGTAATTTAGTATCTACATCATTGGCAATATTAAAGCATTGCTTTTGCTTTCACCTGTTTTGTTCTTACATTTATTGTTTATTCATCCAGGAAAGCATCCATATTCATCTTCATAAACAATTTTCATGTTCTATACTAAATTCTGAATATATTGAATGTTATTTTGAATCACTTGGGTATTATTTAAAATATTTAGAATAGACAGATAAGTAAATAGGCAACTTTTCAAGTAATATCTGTCAAACAAGAGACAAAGGCAAAATCAAAATTCACTGACTGTTGCAGTTATTCTGCATTGTAAATATGTCAAACATATTCTAACGTTTTGGAATCTTACCAGAATCAGCTGATTCTTGGAGTAATGGGGGTTGATGTCTCTTTGGAGGACATAAAAAAACTGACACCCCGATTTACGGTAAGTTGCTTGCGTTGGTGGTTTCTCTTTATGTATGATTTATGTATGATTTCTGTGCACAGCCTTTCATAAGTCATACAGCAATGAATGGATACGAGTCAAAATACCAGCAGGCTTTTTTTCATCTATTCTTTTCCATTGTTGTAGATTTTCTGATGGTTTTGTCTCCGGCCATATATGTGTTTCTGTGTGAATAGTCCATCAGGATGCATCTGTAAAAGCCAACTTCTACACTGGGGGATATTTTCCAAGTAATTATTTTCCTGTAGCTTAAGGCACTGCTCTTTAATTGAGTGTTTGGTTCTTATCACAGTGTAGAGTACACAATCATTTCAGCTAATAGGAATACTTAGCTTTTATACAGGATGGTTCTTTATAGAAAAGTTCTCTAATATACATGTCTGTCTGTCCCCTACTCAGTATGATTGATTTATATATTAAGACGTCTAGCTGGGGAATTTCTAAGAAAATAACTAGTACTGTGGAAAACAACAGATGAGAAAGCAAAGGAACATCAGAACTTTGACTGAAGGCAAATGCGAAGTCCTGCATCTAGAATGGAATAATCCCATGCCACAGTTCAGCCTGGGGCAGGAAGGGGCCTGGGGTCATGGTGAAGGACAAGCTGAACATAAGTTAGTGCTGTGCCCTTGCAGTAAAAGCGTCCAGCTGTGCAGTGAACACCTGCATCAGGAGTACTGTGTCCAGGTTTGATCTCCTCAGTGTGAGAGAGACACTGAGGTGCTGGGCAGAGTCCAGTGCAGAGCCACTAAATTGGCCAAGGGACTGGAGTACATGGTATACGAGGAGAAGCTGAGAGAGATGGGTTTGTTCAGCCTGAAGGAGGAACCTAATGGGGTTACCTAAGGGGACTCATGGAGAAGATGGACCTTGACATTTCTCGAAGTTTTATAGCAAAAGGCAAGAGGCAATCGATGTACTTGTGGCAATGGAAATTCCAGCTGGAAATAAGGAAAAAAAATCATTGTGAGGGTGGTTAAACACTGGAGCAGGTTGCCCAGAGAGGTTGTGGAATCTCAAAGACCCTTTGAAACCTAGTCCAACTTTGAAGTTGGATCTTCTTTTGAAATTAGCTCAGCTTTCAGTGAAGGATTGTACCAGGTGACCTCCAGAGGTCCCATCAGCCTAAATTATTCTCCAAGTTTATGATTCTAAGAGTAAATATTCAGAAATTATCTTCTCTATGTTAATATCTCACATATTTTGTGATGCCTGAGACAATGTATTTTCCTCAATGTGACTATTGCTTGAAAATAATTAATTAATCTTTATTACTTAAAACCTTATAATGCTAAACTTCATTTCTTTTTTTCAGCTTTGTCCAAATGGATACTATTTTGCAATTGATCCTAATGGGTATGTGCTACTTCATCCAAATCTCCAACCAAAGGTATGAAAAACCTAATTCATTTCTCTGTAATAAGGGGACATTGTCAGAAATAACAGAAACTAAAATCTGCTGAAAGTGCCAGGGAGCAATAGTAAAGAATTCTCATTTGTGGGGGTGTCAGGAACATCTGTGGTGCATGTATGGCTTTCTCCAAATCCACTTTAGTCAGCACAAAGGCCAGCATTGGCTTGTATTGAATTTGGTTATCAATATAATACAAAAGATGTATATTTTACATGCACTTTAATATACGTGAAATAAGTGTTTTAATATACATATTAATATAAAAACAACTAGTGGTAGCTTTAGTATCATTGTGAAGAACTTGTAGTGTGTTATAAGATGCTCTCAAAGCAAACTGAGGAGTTTACTAGTGCACATGCAGGGGCAAACACAATGTATTTTACTTGTATTTTCTTATTTGTTTATTTGCTTATTTTCTGTTTACCAGAGCTGAAACCTGAGCTGCAGAGTTGGGATAGATCTAGCTGAGCACTCCTTCCCAGAATGCTAGATTTTTTAGTAGTTCAACTCGAGAAAGGTCTTTCATCTTTAAAGATGAAATCTTCATCTAAACATGATTAGGATGCAACTTTCCTCAAATTTCAGGAAAATTTAAACCCAAGATTTCAGTCTGGCTTGATATCCATTAACTGTAGTCCTGACCCTGTGAGGACTGCTACATTGCATGTATCTTCTTAAATAACTTGCCTCCCTGGCTTTGATGAGATATTTCAACATGAATGGATGATTTTTTTTCTGAAACCAGAACTTTAATCTTTGTTTTAGTAAAGGGTTTCTCTATATCAAACAGCCTTCTGTTTAGTGGAATATTTGAAAATGCTTGTATTTTAATTCCATTAGAAACATACTTTCAGCAAATTTTGTCTCTTGAGTTCATAGTGCACAAATGCAGCATTATATAAAAAACATAGTTAAATTTTATTTAACTAAAAATAATTTTTTTAAAAAATTACTCCAGATTGAGAGAAATATATGGATTATTTACAGATAAAAAGTTAGAAATAATAATGAATCAGTAAGTATTGAAAATGAAGCAATATACACATGTAGTTTAGTTGTCAAAATTTCTCATTAAGATGGTTTGAGCAATATATGACCAAGATAAATGCAAGCTGTCAATACACAGACAAATAAGGCTAGTAACTCTTTTAAACTTTAGTGGCACCCTATTCCTAAGTTATTTTTTAGCACTTAGTACACTTTAGAGAAACTTCTTAAGTAATGGAAGCCTGTATTTGCTGCCTTTAGGCATGGAAATACTGGGGTTTTGTAAATTGAATGCATATCCATCACTTTATTCCTCCCAGCCATTTTCCTGTGGCAGAATAGCAGCAAATCCTTGACCTCTTGACTGTGCAACTGTCCTCTCTTGTTTCTTCACCAGAAAGTCCTATCATAGCTACAAGAGGGATAGCAGACCCCCTTTTCACTACTTCACCATCTTTAACTATCAAAGGCAGAAAAAGAAATGAAGACTTCATCTACATATTTTAGTGATTCATTTAATTCTTAAACTGGGGGAAGTCAGCAGTGTGAATATTTGGATGAATTTCCTGGTGAAGTAATGAATATGTTTGAAATCTCTTTAACAAGTGTGTAACAAAAGAAAAAAGTAAAAAAATGCTTCTGAAGAGAAAGAATAACTTGATCTTAACTATTGATGAAATATTCCTTTTGATTTATTTTGAAAGGACACTTTTAAAAATAAAAGGAAAAAAAAGGAAAAGAAGGTTTTTATATAATCTGCATAATTTAGAAGGACTTCAGTTTCTGGATATATGCATTAGGTTTTCATGCATTAAAAAATGAAAGTTTGGATTTGATGATTTTGCTTGGTGAATTATTCTGAGACAAACATATGCATCATTACTGACTGAATCTGTTCTTCATTAGAGATTATTAGAAATTCAGATGATGGCGAGTGGTCTATTTGTCTTCTCCTTATATGCAAATGAAACTATCTTTTTGTTGACAGAAGAAATATAGTATTCTCGTTTTAGGGACAATCTTGCGAGGAACTGAGGGATATGGGTTCTGTTCATCTCATATGTGCTATTATGCTGCAGTGTAAACTCGTAACACTGGAGAATAAAGAACCTTTGTTAGAGAGTGAGAAACAGTTCCCCCCAACTAAACCTAGTCAGACTGAGATGGGTTATTAGGATACTAATTGTGATGGTTCCTCTGTGTAGTCTTCTACTTAAAAGGATCTGAAAGTCCAGAGGTGATTTCACATACTGCTCGAATGTTTGATTTAGAGTATGTTTAAAAAAGGATATTTTATATGTTTTGTGTTGTTGAATAATGTCTAAATGCAATATTAAGCATATGCTTTATTATTATTGTTATTGTCGTTATTAACAGTTACAGACTAGACATTTTCACTCCCAGTTTGTTTGGGGTGGTGCATGCTATTCAGACTGATACAAGAACTACGTTTTAAAACTAAGGTACACTACAAAGACAGATGTATTTAGAACTCATGGACTTTCCTTAACATGTCATATTAATTTTAGTTGAACCTCCTGGTAGCCGTTAACTTATTAACAAACAACATCTTAACCCTCTTTGCCAGCAATTTTTCAATAGATGTAAACTAAAACATAACTACGTCTTTACCTTCGAAGAGGTGAGGGTGTATTAAACTTCCAATGGTCCCTTCTTTTGAATGTCTTCTGCTTTCCTTCTGAAAATCTGTTACCTCAAATCACAACTGGTTCAACACAATTAATATCTTGAGAAATTGTCTTGCAGTATCATCTCACAAAAAGAAACCCCTAGAAATTTAGAACTTGTAAAGTCATTTGCAGAACTGAGAAAAGTTAACAAAAGGCAGGTTCAGAATCATATTAAAATCATTAAGAACTTTCCCATCATGTTCTTATTTGCACATGAAAACTATGTCAAAGCATAACACGGGAAACTTTTTTTAACTGTCAGTTTAATATAGTTTTAAACTGCTTAAAATACCATTTTTCAAGTTTGTGTAGTTTGTTATATTACATTTTTAAGGAAGTACTTAATTTTATGGTTTACTGCCAATTTTCTTTGTGTGTCTGTGCGTATGTATGTGTATTATTCCCATTCCTGGGAGAAAACAGGTGGATAGTCCACCAAATAAACATAGTCACTGAAATAAATGCATTAAGCATGTGTTAACAGGATTAGTCTAAATTAGATAAGTTCTGAAAACAGTAAATAATTCAATTTCTGAATCTTTTCTAAGGATTAGCATCCTTTTCTTCATTTTCATTATGGTTCTGATCAAAATCCATTTAATGGCAGTTCTAGAACTCCAGATGCCTTTAGTAAGGTCCAGTATTTTGTCTTACGGTTTATGGTTTTGAAAGAAATATAAGAGGAGGTGGGTTTAAGAGCAGATACAACAGTAAACAAAAAGTGAAACTCTTCTCATTCTGTATTTTAATTCTGGCAGAGTATGTGGGAGGGAGAGCTCTCTGTTAACTTAATTCACATCGTTTAATATATGTCTGGTTTCTGTTTCCCTAGACAAAACCTGTGTTTAATTCTGACAGAAAGCTCAGAACTCTTGATTGGATTGAGTGCTAGTCTCTGCTTCCAGTAAACGTGCACTGGAGAATATAGATGTTGAGGGAAGACTTCCATTTTATAAGTAGGCTGTTTGCTAATAGTGTAAAAATGTAAATTACTGCTTTTTTGTTACTTCAGCAAATTGGTGTGGGCATACCAAAAGTTAAATTGAGAAAAAGGAGACCCAATGTACAGGTAACTTTGGATGGAGGTGATTAGTGCATTAGAATGCATAGACCTGGAAATACAATTAGAAAGCTTCTGCCCTGCTTACTAGGAAAAATCTAACTAGAGAACTGTTTACTTTGACAAACAGCTTCCAAAGCATGAAGCTTGCATCCTTCCTTGTTTAAATAATAGAAAACATGTTATTGGCTGTAGTGAAGGGCATTCCATTAAATTATGGTGCTTTACTAATAGGTGCTAATTAAAGCCGTGCTGTAAAAATTATTCTTCAGATTTTGAAATGAATTTGAAGACTGGAAAAAAAAAGAGACTACTTGTGCTGGCTTTGCTTGCATAAATCCAAAGTCAAGAGAAGACGATTCTTATGACTTTGTTGCCGAGTTTTATTGTACAGTGTATGCTGTATAGCCTTACAGAATTTGAATGAGCTGTTCAGTATTTTTCTGGGGAAGTCAGAGTAGGGCATATGTTTTATCTGCTATTTGCATCAGGTTTCTCGGTTTAGCAGACCCAGCTCCAGAGAATTAACTGCCATTAACCTGAACAAGGAAAAGGAAATTAGTAACATTTCTGTAATGCAATCCCTGAGCAGAAAACACATAATGAAAACTTAAAAATCATTAAAGGAATAGCAAAATAACAAAATTAGGTACAGTATACCGTGTTAATTTCTGACACATATGGGAATATATAATGCAAAACTGGTGGCTTGCATAACACCACCAGTAAAACATGGTGTAAAATCCTGATCTAATTCAAGTCAGTGATTTCACCGAGTGTCAAGTGGCTGCATTTATACCACATGTAGGAGACCACCTCTGGGCTAGATTTTTTGTTTGTGCACTGGAGAAAGCAGCACTGGAACATTAAAAAAAAAAATCTCCATTTTCTGAGCACCCCTGGCTCCTCAGCGTGCTGTGGTATGATTTGGCTGGTGCTGGGTTTGCCTGGCTGTGCTGGCTGCCCAGGGACGTGCAGCTCTGGAGGAGCTCTGGGCTCCCATCCACTCCTGATGCTCTTGAGTCTCTGGGGCCCAGGATTTTGCTGCCTTCTTACCATCATTTATTTGAAAAGCCTAACAGCCTGTGTCTTCATTAGTACTGCAGGTATGAGTAGAAACTAGGCTCCTGCAACTCAGGAAAGAAGGCCTTCTGTAGATTTTGTGAGAATACTGACCTCCCAAAACACACGACAATGAAATTTTAATGAACTTTTTTTTATGTTGCTGCACCAGTTCTTTCTTTCTTCGTTTCCTTCTTGATTTGTCATTGAAATAATAGATCTTTGCCTTTATTTTTCATGCTGAAAATGGATTGCACTCCCTTTATTTGCATGCTTCATTGCTAGTGATTTACTTCTGTTTTGTTTTATTAAGTTGTGCTGGTGAATGTGGTGGTGGTGCGCTTATTCTAGTCATGTCATGTGCATGACTGGATAAAGAGAAGAGCAAACTGAACAGTAAGTTTGTTTCTTCATGGCTTGGAATAAACCCCACTAAATGGCAACCTTGGAAGAAAAAATGGAGCCCAAATACTGGTAAAAACACATTCTTGGGGGAAAAAGACTTAGCGGGGAAATAGTCTTCCATTTAAAGTATGGGGCTAGGAATTTTCTATTCTAATTTCTAATTGATTTCTTTGTGCCTCAGGCACGTCACATAATGGATCTATACATGCTTAGTTTCTTCATCTATTAAAAGTCATTAGTTAGTACTTTATAAAGAATGTGTGGTGATATAACATAAGTCTTAAAAAGAACAAGAACAAACAGTTAATGTATACTTGAATTTTGAAAGACTGTTAAAGTTGACTATTTTGTCTTTGGGACTCCTTAACTGTGGCTAGCCCAGGTTATCATTTGAAATGAATATTGACCTTGATTTGATGTGATGGCTTTTTTTCTTTTTTTTACCATTTCTTTTCTTCTCTGTTCCTTTGTGTGTTGGAATGGAATGTGAACTTCACAAATGCCTCCTCTGCCATGCCAATGCCTTCATGCATGCTGTTTGGGTTTGACCATGTTATTCATTATCCATTGCATGTAAGAAAATGTATTTTTTTGTTTATTTTTACGTTTTAGCCTTTTGCTATTTATTTCAAGGGTGTGGATTTGTTGGGGGGGAAAGTAACTGCATAACAATAATTAAATTGTTTTGAATTAGTAGAGAGCATATGTTAATGCTATTATATTAAAGTTGCTTGTTTTATCTATCCTGTATAAATAGGATCATAAAAATTTCTTTGAAGTTATCACATTTAAAAGAAATACCAGGAATCTTCTTCTGCAATCTTTCCAGTGCATATTCTCTTTCTGAGAATAAATTTATTGGCTTTTGTCTTAGCAGACAGTAAGTCTTACTTGCTAAGAACAAGAATGATTCCATATACCCAGAAACATGTATAAGAATATGAAAGAATAATCTTTTGCCTTCTAACTCTATTACAGTCTTGAAAATAAGGGCTACTGTTAAGCTCTTAATGCTCCAGACTATTACATGAAGGCAGCTTTTACCAGCTGTTCAGGATGTTTCTTTCTTTCAGTATGAACTGGACATATATGTATAAATTGTGATGAAACATGCTTGCATTCTTTGATAGAATAGTCACATGTACATTTGTCATGTAACTTTGCCAGGGAATGTTAGGATAGAAGGAATATAATCATTTCGAAAGAAGGGACTTTAGTCTACCCTGTAAATAAGTTAGTATAGCTGAATCACTGAAATCCCCTAAAAATGTCATTAGCAGAAATTATGCTACTCCTGAAATAGCAGTATCAGCTAATGACAATTTTTGTGTTGCTAATCGTATGAAAAACAGTGCTCATTTACTGAGAAAATTAGGCCTTGAGATCTTTTCATGTATGAACTGTCCTATTACACAAAGCAAATTATTATCAGTTTAAAAAATTAATAAAACTGGACTTTTTAAATCTTCTATTCTAACCTATTAGATTTAAATGGTTAAATAGTATCCCTGTACTCTTTTTTCTAAAGATCCTTCTTTAGGTGGGTGCATTAAGTAACTACTGAGTGATGAGGATTGAGGACTTTTACACCACACATAATATAAAGTCAATGGGGCTTAGCCAAAATTACTCAAAAAAAAAAGAAAAAAAAAGACTCAGAGTCCTAACAACTCATACAGAAGATGGCTCTGTCCAAGTAAATGCAGGCTGCAACTGAGAAAGGAGCAGAGGCTGGAGGGGGGTCTGAGCTATTTAGCAGAGCTACAGTGGTCTTCCCACACTCCTATGGGACAGACCACCAAACTTCTCTGTTCTCCATAGTCGAGGGTCAACATCATATACATTCCTTAGGTCTTGAAGCTGCTGGGTCGCGGTATTTCTGTGCTACAGGTTTCCGTCTCTTAAATTGAGATAACAGTACTGATGTCAAGAGAAATGCATTCAAAACTGCAAGGTGTTCAGGGAAGTCCTGTAATGCTGACAAAAAAAGTGATTTTTATTTTTTATAACAAACAAATCATTTGCTATAATTGCTGCTTCTTTGAATCTTGAACCGCAGTGCATTCCCACCCCATAACGGCAAGTCTGTAGTCTGCTTTTGGTCAAACTGTAGAAGAGTACCATTGCCCCATCTTACTGGTCAGCTGGAAAACTCTCCCAGATTTCTCTCTCCCTTCCTGGAGGCAGGATACTTAATGAGAGATTCATATCTGATGCTTCCTCTGATGCGTCTTCTCCCACCCTTGCAGTCTGTGACATACCAGCAGTAGGGGAAGCAGCTTCCCGGCATGAGCCCCATACATGACAGACTGTGGACGGACACTGCCATTAGTGTTAGTTTGTTTTTCAATTAGTCAATTAACCTCTCTATCCAATGAAATAAAATAAATGAGAAAGGGCCATTAGTAATTCATCATGCTGCAAAAGATTAAAACAGATAGGTAAGTAAGCCCAGTTAAGTAGCTTACTTTGAAATGAAGGGATTAGAATAATTTGTAACATTACGGTACTCTGTCTTTATTATTTGATCATTCAATATCTTCTGCTTCAGAATCCTAAATCCCAGGAGCCTGTTACGCTGGATTTTCTAGATGCCGAATTGGAAAATGATATTAAAGTTGAGGTGAGATTACCTGGTTTCTTCGTACCTGTTGCTGCTTTTATGTCACTGTAGCATAACTGAAGAGCAGTAAATGTTCTAGATTTTGAATGGGAATCTATTTCACTATAAATGTCAATTTTAAATTTGTCAAGATGATGACTTTATAGAGAGATGAAGTTAAAATGAAACAAATTGAGATCCGGTATTATTTGTAGGCAAGGGTAATGCATTATATTCCTCTCATTTTGAAAGACACAATGATTGCTATTTAAATAATTCTTCATTAAGTGGCAATTTCTGGGGAGAGGGCTTGTAAAATTTTTCAGAACAGAACATTTTTTAATAGGATATTAAAATTCTACCTGAAATATTTTAAAAGTATTTCCCTATGTCTTACTAACGCAAGCTTATTGCTGTGGTGAGAGAGAGAACTGAGAAGTAAAGTTGAATGTTGACAACAAATCAATTCCTCTGTATATTTTTCAGTTACTAATTTTGTAATATATTCAGAAATCAGAATTTTTAAAATAGTTTGTTAGTTTTGTGAAATAAAATGAAGGTTTTTTAAACATTTTACATTTTTTAACATATTTTTTCAATTTGTTTGAAATTGTTCTTTCATAATGACACTGATCAGCATTTCTTGGTATCTGTTAAATTCTACCTTAAGTTTCTTTGAAATGCCTGCTTCAGAGAGGAATTACTCTTGGGCTGGTATAAAAACATTTTTGTGAATCACTGCTACTACCAGAATCACACAGATGTGCTGGGAAGCACAAGAAGTGCTAGACAAAGGTCCTTCTCATCTACACAGAATTCATACTCTCTATAGTGCCCAACACCAAGGGGTTGTATGGAATGGTCTTCCTATACAAAGTATACCAGAATTGTTGCTTCATAATTCTACTGATTCAGTACATATTTGGAGAAAGCAACTCCTAATTAGAAAAATCTGAAAATTTTAAACTTAACTTTTTTTTTTAAGAGCTATGACTTTCATATGCACTACTGTTTTCTGTGTTTCTATGAAATATTTTGAATCACTGAAAAGATTACTCATGTTACATGCAACACCTAGTTCTTTTTTTTTTTTTTTTTTTTCCTTGCCAATAGATTCGGAAAAAAATGATAGATGGAGAAAGTGGAGAAAAAACATTTGAAACACTGGTCAAGTCCCAAGATGAGGTAAGATAGGAACACAGGCAATCACATTTACAGGAACAAACAAAACCAGAAAAATACTGTGAAATGGTGAAAAGATGTTCATTTTGTAATGTCCGTTTGTATCATTTTTCCCTCTAGATTTGCTAGTTTTACTGGCTTATAGTAAAAGAAATTATGTACTTATGAAAAGAATAATTGGTTTTTTTCTTGGTTTCTTTGGTGCATCATTAATCAGGCAGTTGTTGATGAGTTCTTACCGTCTGTTCACCAGGAAATGGACCCAGCCTACTTCTGTGTATGAATCTCAAAACAAAATACTTAATTTGCTTGCGGAGATGTGTGAGGATGGGTTTGGTAGTTTATATTATGAGTGAATGGGAAGAAAGTAGTAAGAAAAAAATACAACATTTATATGCCATAAATGAAGACTATTTGGGATAAGCAAATTCATCTTACAGTTATATTATGTACTTGTGCTTTCTGAACAGCTTGTTGAGTTCTTTATTGTCTTGTCCAAAATGCTCATTCCTGATAAAGATTGCTACTGGTTTCTCTAGTAAGACAGACACATTTCCTCGCAATAAGAAATACTCAAATTTGACTGGTGTGCCAAAGGAGTGGTTCTGGCCAGAGTATGCCCCACAGTTACAGTTCTACAACAGCTTTTTGAAACTGTTTTACTCTGAATGTAAAAGAGCTTCAAGATAGATAGTTTAATGACTTAGCAGAAGAATATGAAGCAAATAGAACATCAAGCAGACACTACACAACCCTTATATATATAAGCACACCATAACAATACTCAGCAGAATTGCTTGGGACTGTGCAGTTAATTTTTCATGTGTAGTATTAGCTGCCCTCTCTGGTTGACCTCCTGTAACTTTGATACCTCCAATGGCTCAGCTGTTTGTACTTAAATGGCTAAATGTTCCAGTGAAAAATTCCTCCTTCTCACAAGGCATATGCTACAGAATCTAATGAAGTTAAATTGATAGGAAATCAGGTCTCACAGTTTGGGGGGGGGGGGGGGTTTTTTCAGTTAAACCAGGCCCATTCCTTACTTATATTCCATTCACTGTCTAATACATGGTAGCAACTTTCAAACTCTGCTGTAAATTTTGGCCAGATTACACCAAGTGACGCCCAATACCGAGCAGTTCCTATTACCAGTCCTCTGACTCAATTCTGCATTGAGTGAAGATTGTTATATAGTTATTCTCATTTTGATACAGAAAAAAATATTTCATAGTCCTAGTCTATTTTTGCATTAAACATGGTAGAAACTTACTTGTTTTTGTAGCTGAAAATCAGTGGCAATGCACATGTTGTCTTTGCTAGATGAAGCTGAAAATGGAGCTGAATTTTCTGAAATATGTCTCGATTGTTCATCCATGCTGTGATTTCACAATGTCAAGTTCATGGTCACTTGATTCTGCAACAGACCTTTGGGAACATACTTGGAATCACAGAATCATTGAATAGTTTCTGTTGGAAGGGACCTTTAGAAGTCATCTAGTCCAACTCCCCCCTGCCATGAGCAGGGACATCTTCAACTAGATCAGGTCGCTCAAAGCCCCATCCAACCTGACTTTGAATGTTTCCGGGGATGGGGCATCTACCACCTCTCTGGGGCAAGCTGTTCCAGTGTCTCCACCTTCATTGTAAAAAATGTCTTCCTTATATCTAGTCTGAATCTACCCTCTTTTAGTTTAAAACCATTACCCCTTGTCCTATCGCAACAGGTCCTGCTAAAAAGTTTGTCCCCATCTTTCTTATAAGCCCCCTTTAGGTACTGGAAGGCTGCTATAAGGTCTCCCTGGAGCCTTCTCTTCTCCAGGCTGAACAACCCCAACTCTCTCAGCCTTTCCTCACAGGAGAGGTGTTCCATCCCTCTGATCATTTTTGTGGCCCTCCTCTGGACGCTCCAACAGGTCCATGTCTTTCCTATACTGAGGACTCCAGAGCTGCACATCTCATGACCATTCCTCAGCCTCTTAGTATCTGCACTGGATTTGACAAAGCATGCTGCTTCTGATAGTGTAATTTAAAAGGAGTGCAAACAAGGACAGGAAGCCATGCACAAGATCTTCACAACTGTGCAAATCCATCAGAGGCATTTTATATTCCTGAACTATGGGTGTCATTGAGGAGATCAGTGGCTTTACTTGCATGTGTGTCCACCTGTGAGGAAACAGATTAAAATCTGTATATTCATTCAACTCCCTGCTAACAAGATTGTGTCTTTGTTGCAGAAGGGGTGTCATGGTATTTTATTATATTGCAGAGTCTAGGGAATTTGACTCAGTGTTGAGCGCTGTGTTCCTTCTGATACCCTATTCAGAAAGTGCAGAACCTCATAGACTCTCTTGTGAATACAGAACCTCGGCTTCAGTGGGGGCAGACAAATGTAACTGTAGATGATCTTAACTGAAAGATGATGATAATGATGATTATGCAGTCATGTAGGCAGCAGAGTCATACTTTAGTCTTTATGGGGGAAGTCAACTTAATGCCAGCCTTATACACTTACATTGTCCAGGTGCAAAGCGTGCCTGTAAGTTATGGTCCTTGAGCCTGTGGAGTCCCATGATCTCATTAAACATGCCCACGCTCCTCCTCTGTATCCAACTTTGCGCTGCCTTTCACCTCTTCCCGTGTTCTTCTAAAGAAGAGACCTATACCAGCAGTCCCCTTGCCTTCTGCTGGGACTCTCTTCTCTGCTTTCTCACAACAAAGCCCCCACCCCAGCTCTCCTGAGTAAGGCTCTACAATGCTGCTTTACAATCTATGGGGAAATCCTGCTGTGTGAAAAAATGTGCCTTTTCCTGAATGGTTCCATTATTGGAGGACGGTGAATGAATAGGGCCTTCCCGGGGCAGGGAGGGCAAGCCCCATCTGATGTCAGTTCTGCTACCTCATCTGTGTCAGGAGCCCATCCAGTCTAGGAAGGCACGAGCCTGTTCCCCTGTTCTGAAGGGAGACTGGGTCATGCCTGACCTACTGACGGAGAGTCTGAAGTCCTGCTGGCATCTGCGTAAGGGAGGAACTCATTGGGACATTTTCAGATTTGCGGTGTTTTGTTTAAGGAGTGCCTTTCCAAGCCTATGGGTGAAAAGGGTTCTGTGTAGGCAGTTAGAAAAGGGGAAGATTAGAAGGTCACAAAAATACAATAACACCATTGGGGTTATACGAGAAATTGCATTCATGGCAGAGTTGTTGAAGAGATCTCGGGCAGTGCATGCATTTCCCAGGCTGTGTGATAAAAAAAGACCTGAAACAGCTGTTCACCCAAAGAGGGAGGGAGGGGAAGCACTTACGCTTGCAAATGCTGGAGTCAGCTACAGCATCGCGGGGTGGGAGGAAAATGTGACGGCCCCGAGTGTACGAGAATGTGTCAGTTACGCACAACCCAGACCACAGTCTGTATTTGAATAGAATATCCCAAGCCTTTTGATCCCAGATGCTTCAAGTGCCCAATGAAATTAATTTCCCTCACCTTCCCTTGCATCATGGCCCAAGATTTCTTCCTCTACTTGGACGTCTCTGAGAGAAGGGAGCAGCCAGAGATGGCTGGCAATGGTGACTGCTTCAAGCCATCGCACCCTCCCAGCTCCAGGCTGCTAGAGCCAGAATAAAGCTGCTTCAGACCGTGGGTCATGCATGAGCCATGCATCACTTAGGACTTGATAGCTTCATATATTTTCTTATAAAAAGGGCTGATGTGGTCAGTTGCTCTGAACTGACAGTTGCAGTCTTGAGGCTTAAAATTGATGTCCTTTTTGTTTTGCCTTTTGGTTTAAGTTTGCATTGCTTTCCTTTTGTATTGCAGCTGGCCCCAGCAGTGTCTTGGGAGATGACCTCATACTACAGCATAGAGACTGGACTCGTAGCAAGCGTGGGTGGGGTGCGCTGGAGTCTCCCAAGGCCTCAGGGGCTTTCCAACTAACAGAGAAGATGCCATAGGAACAAAAGCATTGCCACATTTGGGCAGCTGGGGTGGGCAGTAGTGAAAACCGAAGGGTCACGAAAACTGCAATAACGTGTAGGTTCTTTGGCAGTGGCCAGCTGGGAAGGAGATGGTCTCAGACCACTCAGTAATGAAGCAGGCAAAGGTAAATGGGAGCTGATGTATGAGGATGTGTGATCTACTGGGTTATCTTTGAAGGGATGTTTCAGCCAATTTGCTTTCAAGCATGCTCACAGTGCTGGTGGCAACAGGATTTAGTAAGAGCCCAGTTCTTCTCTTCCTTCCCTCCCACCTTGGGCACTGCTTTTCTCTTGCCAGTGTACATGGTGTGCACCCCATGGCGCTGTGCCTTATTTGGAGGGACTGCCAGCTCTAGGTTCAAGGGTCTGCTTATTCTTGAGATGAAGTAATAGCATAGGCACATTATCAAATATAAATAGGCTTGGATAGGAATCTCTTCAGCCATCTTTTTACCTTAAATATATCAGGGCATTAGACACTGATATATGCATTTTTTTTTCTTTTTTTCTTTTTTTCTTTTTCTTTCCAAAATGACTATTAAATTATTTACACTGTCATGCTGTTCTGAAAAGCAGCAGCCAGGTAATGAGAAGGTTTCAAATTATAAATGTCAAAAAAGACACCTCTTTTTCATAACCACAGTCATTTTCACACTTTTGTTTTACCACAGGGAAAGAAAGAACATAGAGGTATATCTGTGGTACCTTTCACTGATGTTTGTAATGTTGCAGTCCAACAGCTGCAGAGACTTCATTGCTGGCATGCTTACAAATCTCTGATTGTAAATAATAATATGTTGCAGCTGGCATAAACTGTATTTTTCAAAGTGGAAAACTGAGTAAAGAATGTCAGCCAGGTGCATTAAGATTAAATCTATGGGGAACTGTGGGACTGTGTCTATCACATTGTTTTTCATACCAAAAGAAAATGAATGGTAAAGTGTATCCTAATGTATTAAGTTATTTAAAAATAAACATTTACTTCAGTGTTAAATTTTTCACAAATTCAGGGTGCTACTAATGAGATTAGAAACACATGTAAGTTTAGCATGGGGTGCCTATACAATCACAATTACCTGGCTGTGCCTGTAGATATGACTCAAATTTAAATGCATTTAGTCAGTGGCATTGTGACCTGAAAGGACAGGCACTGGGTGTTTTGTTGTTAAAAGTGTTGCCTACAAATTCTTTTTATAATTGAGTTTTTTTCTTTTCATAGTTTAATTGCAAAATGGTCCATAAAGGAGATAACATCTTTTATCAAATTTAAATCACATTAGAAAAAGGTTTGCATAGGCATGGCTAATGAATTTAGAAGGGAAAATGATAGGTCATGTTTATCTGGTTTTATTTAAATTTGCATTTTCTTAATGTTCAATAAAAAGGATATAGGTGATTCTTTTGCATAATAGAAGTTTGGAAAATGTTTAAGAAAAGGAGTTGCAGCTCAACTCATGCTTTTAGCAAAATAACAAATAGAATTCCAGCAGATTTGTACTTGATTTTACACTGTATTTCGCAAGAAAAGGTCACGCTTGTTGAAGCTCCGGAGTTAATAATTTATTTTTTCACCAATATATCTTTGTAGAGATACATTGATAAAGGAAACAGAACATATACATGGACTGCTGTGAATGGTACTGATTACAGGTAACTCCTTTTTGGTCTCCAACTTCTTTTGCATAGTTAAATGTTCTTTTTGTTTATTTTGGTTAACGTTTTTAGCGTTACATTTTCTATGCTAGCTAAGTCGGGACCAGATTGTCTTCTGTCCAGGCCTGTAGGATTTTCTGGGTTCCTTTACAGCTCAGAACCGTTGCTCTAAGGACCAGAACCTCAGTCTTTCATTCAACTGTTGAGATTTATCACTAGGGTATTTCAGTATGCAGGAAAAAATGTTTTTTTGTGATGGATGTTAAGAATCTTACTTTTCCTTCTACTTTCTATATCACAGTATACTTTGGATTCTTCATTGTACACTTTCTCTTAGATTCCTTCTCTTATTTCATCTTTTCTTTGCACTAAATCCATATTCTTGTTTTAATATGCATATTAAAAAGGAAGATGCTATATTTTGGTCTAAATAAAAAAATGTGATATCTTTTGTGCAAATGTTTTTCAGTCACAATCATTGCTAACCTTCATGTCAGATCTTAAGGGCAGGAACAAGGCTACTGATTATCTCTGAAATCCGTATCTATTTGTGACAAGTTTTAACTAATTAGCACTGCTGCTGCTTTGTATGTAAAAATTATATGGTGAATGGCAGCAGGAACAAATGAAGTAATGGGCAAAAGCACATCCCCCCTTGACTGCAATGTTGGCGTGTATATTATTTCAAACTCATTTAAGCATACAGCTCTGTAACGTAAGGAATGTAGAAACTTAACATTATCCAAAACAAATTAAGGTTTACCAAGTCCCAGAAAGTAAGCTACTCTAGTTCAAAACTAGATGGCACAAATATTGAGTCAAATTTTTACCCAAACAATATTTTTATTGTGGTGAATTACAGTAGTCCTCAGCCAAGGTGGTTCCCCTTTTCTGTTATGTTCTGCACAGGTGTAAGCCAATGAGAATGCAAATGTTAATTTGTATGTAAAACCAAATAAATCAGTTTTAACAAGAGAATGCAAATGTAGGGTCTTCTTTTCAGCATCCCATTTTTCCGTTGAACTGCCTCTGTCTTTGTAAGAAAAGAAAAGTTTTTATCAGACTATGCCATCTAGAAATCAGTAAAGAAATACGTTTGATTAAATAACTTCTTAATTCTTACTGAGCTCCCTGGTATGAGATACGGCAATAAATCCGTGGAGTCACATTGCAGAAAACCTATTAAGCATAAAATTATAGATTTTAATTAGCAATTTCTGCTAGCAGTAACTGTTAATGGCAGGTAAACTGCTACTGATTTCCCTAGAGGAGAATTGGTAGAAGGCTATCACTAAATATTCAGCAATCTCACTTACATTCTGTTCAAATGGCAAATGTATCATTAAAGGTCATCTCTTTTATGGCTCAGTTGTACAACTCTGTTAATGTTAATTTCTGTGGCTGTCCATTAGAAACCACTGCAGTTCTACAGTGATGAAATCTGAGTGCAGAAATTAAGGACGCGATGAGGGAGATGATGATACCACTTTAATGATTACTTGTACCTCCCGTCTTTTACATACCTTTTTAGAACTGAACTCTTCTACTCTTGTATTGAATTTAGGTGCAAAAAGAAGCCCTATATTTTTTGAACAAAAATAAGTGTAATCTAAAAGAAAATACATTGCAAATGCTTTGCAAATCAGAAAATGTTATTACACAGTGATGTTCAAAGGTTGTTAGTGGTGATTGCATGATTCAAGAAAATGTTTTGCATGTTGAATGTAATGTGAATTGAAGAATTGCCAGACACCTTTCCTAATGAATACCAATAGTTGTTTTATTAGTAAGAATCTGTCATTACATGATGCATGCAAATCAGTGCAGTACTACATGCTGGTTTTTGCAGTCAGTGATCACTTTGACATGTGTTACATTGGGATGCTAAACATGTTAGAGGAAGATACAAGTAATCATGTATTCTATTATTTGCAATTATTGGAAATTCCTTGCTTATCCGTTAAAAAGTGCATTTATGCTTATAAGCGCAAATAAGAATGAAAATAAACACAGGGAACTTCAGGACCGGCATAAACCTACTTCTGTCAATTACAGTGTGAGGCTGGTATGTCACTATGTGACTATCTTGTCTCATGATGATCCATCCAACTTCCAAACTTGTTAATTGCTTTCAAAACAGATAGAAGCTGAAACTGGAAAACTGCTGCAAATAACATAATTGATTTACTTGTCTCATTTCTATTGCAGTTTGGCATTGGTGTTACCATCATACAGCTTTTATTATATTAAAGCCAAAATAGAAGAACCAATAACTCAAGCCAGATGTAAGTACTATGAAGGTTCCCTGGTTTTGTCTAGTATTGCCAAGTCTCAGATTCACTTAAAAAACCAATGTTTACAATTCATAAATTTTGTGGAATTCACTGATGTTACCATGATGTACCCAAAATCTGCAGCAATGATTCTAACCCATTGTAACATCCAAGGTACAAGAAATATTCTATAAAGATAGAATATGTGCAGGTACCCCAGTTCCACTGACAATCCCTTCCCCCTTGCTCTGTGCCTATAGAATCATTGCTTTGTGTATCCTTTGTTGCTGTCATTTTAAGGGTCTGGATACTATTTTTTTCATTCTATTAGCTAACTGTCGTGATATAGACTGTAATAGTAAAGCATTTTTTTGTTATTTTTACAGTGGTTGCAGTAAAATATTTAGCAAATTACCTCTGCTACCCATAGGAGTAGATTAATGTGAAAGCGCTGTTTGGTTTGGCTTGCAGCTAGGATTTTATTATGCATTTTACAAATAGTTTTAGTGGATGTATGCAATGTATTTTTGGATTAGACTAATTTCAAGCCATTTACAGATTCTGGAGAGATAATTGGAAATGATACTTGTGAGTATTCAAATGCTTTTTGTTTATTAGGTGTAGCTTAACTGTAATCTAGATAGTAGACAAAATAGAATCCATCACATCCTTTTAACTTTATCCAAGTGTTGCAATAAACTTGAACAAATATGCAGTTAAAGTTAGAAAAGCACTATGAATCTCTCTGACAGGCATAGATACTGTTAGTTTAGAGAAAACTTGGTTAGCACTAAATCATTGTCCTCTACCATCGCCTCCTGCATACGAAGTAGAATATGGCAAGTTTTTAATAATCAGTGATATATTTTGTAACTTTGTCAAATAGTAAGTAGTTTAAAAGTAAAGTTTTAGTGAGTGAATATGGTTCTCTTGATGGATTAGATCATCTGGTTTTGCACTTATATCAACATAACCTGCAAGACAGACCCTTGAAATAGCCACAGTGTATAGAAGGTACTTGAGAAATAATTGAGAAGGACATATTCTTCAGTCTTCAAAGATGTTTGTCTTTTTTCCAGACTACAGCTGTATGTAAATTGAACCTTTGATCTATCTATGCACAATATTTTTATTCAAGGGGCTGTTTGAATAAAATATTGGTTTGTGACCCCTTTTGCTTTACCCTGTTTTTTTCTGTTTCCCTGCTTTCTCTTTCTGATGGATAGTGGCAATCATAAAGGGCAAGTATATTCTTGTTGCTCAATTTCCTTCTGTTTACTGCAGTTGATATTTTTCACTTATATTTCTATTCCTACTGGATATTCTCCTCTGTATTCCTCATCTCAGGATTTTTCCCATGATCATTGGGTACCATAGCAATAGAAAGGGGAAAAAAAAAAAAAAGAAAAAAAGTTGTGAAGTGTTTTTGTGTTTTCATGCACATTTCGATATGTTGCTAATCTCTAATCCTTCTTTGTCTGGTCCTGTCAGTGTTCAGTGACACCAGCTTTTAAAGCCATTATTTTCAGTAGCATTGAAAGTGATGCTTATATGGATGAGGTTTTTAAACTTTATTGCAGAAAATACTAGAAGTGTTTTCCTTCATGTTCTAACAACTTGGTGTCACAAATATTTCTTTGTATCAGATTGTAATTCTAATGAAAACATCTCATATGTTTTCATGTTGTCACGCTAACGAAATGTCTTCTCTAAGTTGTTAGATACATTATTGTTGCCAGGTGTATGTTGTATATAATAATCAAGTAATTTCTCCCTATATTGCGAAATATTGAGAAGTATATGGTATATTAGTAGCAAAGTGTCTCAAAATAAACATTTCTTTCTAAATTCATGGATGCATGCAAAAGCTAGTCAAATATTTTGAGAAGAAAAATGATAGCAAAAAGGCCAGTTTACTTACTTGGTGTTTACTCTTCATCTTTGTAGATACAGAAACACTGAAGCTTGAGCATTTTGATGAAGCTGGCTATACGTTTATAGCACCAAGGTTGGTTAATTTCCCAGTAATAAGTATTATTTCAGCAGTAAATAGGCATTTGATCAGATTAATAACATTTACAAAATACAGACTTGACCAATAAAGTTTTGTTTTGGTAAAAAATGTTAAGTAAAAGAGCAGTTATTAAATTCATGTTTTACAAGATCAATCTTTTCTTCTTGCTGGAGTGTAAATAGCATCTTCAGGCTCCGATTCCTGTTTATATTATTCAAAGAGAGCTGTAAAATCTGATACTGATGTTTTAATGGAAATCTTATACATGTCTGTTCATTTCTTGTGGTTGTGACTTTTAAGATTTTACAACTTTAAACCTTAGCTTCTCATTTGTAAAATAGGTACCATAATACTTACCTCAAGATGTTTTCCCACTTCAATTAAAGTGTTTCAAAGCTCTCTATCACTTAAGGATGAATCAATTTTTGATTCATTGAACATAAAAAATTATTGAGTCATTGAAAATTGAGTAAGTTCATTAGTTCCTTGTTTCTTCATGTGAAATTGTGTAGTCCTTGTTGCCCATGTAAATGTATGTTTGCAAGGGAGACATGGTACGATAAATAGTTCTTAAAAATTAAGTTCCTTTAAAAGATAGTTATGACAAATTAAGGAAATGCTGTACCATCAAGATCAGTTAAGATAAATAAGAAATGTGACAATTCTTATAAACTTCTGTATCCTTTTAAATTTCAATGAGTAGATTGATTTCAATGAATAGATTGATTTGCATGTAAAACATAGTCTTCTATCTTCAAATGTATTCTCAGCTTAAGCGTTTAATTTAATTTTTCTGAAGGACCGAAGTTATCGATAGTCAATTGTACCAATTACCGGTTTCCAGCAAGTCCCTAGTCGTTAGGCTGATCTACATGAACAAAGCCTGTTTGATGTGGAGCTCTGTTTAAATGTGAATATTGGTATAGTAAGGCAAATTCTGCCTGTAGTCTTTCAGGATCATGGTAAAGTAAGTAAAGGGTAATAAGATGGCTTATTCAAATGAAATACTTGAACAGACTTCTTTTGTTTGTAAAATTTATTTAATATAAAAAGCTCATTTTAAAAGAGAGCTCCCTGCTTTACTGCTGAAAACCCCCTACATTTTAATTAAAGTTGTTTAATGCCACTCACCATCTAATATTTACCTTCAAAATGCCCAGTGACTTTTATTATGCTTGCTTGCATTCAGTGAATTGCCCAATGATATATTGCTTTATTTTATTACATTATGTAAAGGACAGTAGTTTACTGTTTATCTGTTTTGCATATGTCAAAGCAAAAAGTGTTTATATGCTTATGTGGTATGTACCCTATTAAAATTGCATTTAAGACTTCTCAGAGGATAGGACCTTATCCCATAAATCCAGCCTTAGTTGAGTATGAAGTGACTATGTTTTAATCAGCAGTCCATGTATATTCCAGTACAGTTTAACCCAGGAGCAGTCTAAATTCACTGGGCATTTTCTTGTTCAGTTTGCAGACTATGATCTCCTAATTTCATGGCCTACACTAGACCTGAGTGCTTTTTCTGGGAATCTATGCCCTATCTCATACATGAAATTTTCTTATGATTCAGATTCAGGCAGGCAATTGAACACTTTTTTTCCTGTAGATGCCTGAAATATTCAATATTGTCATCATTCAATATTGACTATGGTAGTCAATTGACGTAGTAGTGCCAGCCACCTCATTGTAGTTGCACAATCCTGCTTGGCCTTTAAAATCGCTGAGCCATATTTGTCTGCTTTAGTAGCAAAGGAAACAAATCTGAGAAGACTGATGTTTTGTTGTTTTTCAGAGAATACTGTAATGATGTAAAAAAATCAGAAAACAACACTGAATTTCTATTAAATTTCAATGAATTTATTGACAGAAATACTCCAAGCAGTCCGTCATGTAAGTATTCTTCTCAATTCACTGAAATTTTCCTTATACCTACTCATAAATGAGAATTAGTCAAAATGACAGGTTTCGTGCTCAAATCATGTGGTTTTGTTTTTTGTCTCCACTGATTCTTTTTTTAGTAAAAATACACCTAGTGTTGGGATTTTCTATCCAAGGTAGAGATTGTAAAATTAGTTTGCAATTTTCTGGGTTTATTTAAGAATGTTTGCAGGGCATTACACTTCCAGTCTTTTCCACAATTCCTCTCAGCATTCTCTTCTAGCAGCAATTAACTGCCAGTTTGTTTTAATATACTCCAAATATTTTGAATTTATAGTTTTTTCTCTTGAGCATATCAGCAAAACTAAGGTCAAGTAGACTTCAAAATCTTGTAATGAAATCTTCAGTCTGCTTTCTTGTCAGTTTATATAACCAAAATAAGTAAAGAAAAGGAGTCGAGAACCAAAATAACCAATAACCAGAATAAAAGATAAGGAAGTTCTATTGCTGGTTCACAATTTGGTTAAGAGATCTCACTGGGACTTGAGTTGTTTAAGACCAGAGATTCATGTAAGTGCTGCAGTGGTGAGCACTGGGCTTTGGGAAGGTATTCACATTTTGAAATTGGGCCTTAAGCTCCATTTAGAATAATTGAGCAGTTACGCTTTTGAATGAACCATCAGTAATGCATCGAAGTCTTGTTCTCATGAAAAATTCAGTCTTTGGGTTTGTTTAGCATTATTAATAATTTCTAAACAGTTGGAATAAACTTCCTTTTTGTCTTGCATTCCCTGAGTCTTTTTAACATGTTGCTGTCAGGGATCACTGATCAATTCAATAAGAATCTCTCTGCTAGACCATGTAACTGAAGGAATGTGCACTTAGATATGAGATCTTCTCACAAAAGGCTATTCTTATGTGCACGTGTGGGTGTTTGTTGTTGTTTTTAATAGAGTGATCTTATTCATTGACACATTGATGACTGACTGAAATTTTACTCGAGTCCCTTGACTAAGTCTTGGAAATGAAAGCATTCACCTCAAATGATTAGACCAGTTTATAAATGAAAATTCTAGTTTAATATTCAGTAGTTACATGAGCGAATATTGAGGACACATTTAGTGATATTGTAATATACACTAGGGCTTAGTAAGTAATTATGCCAAAATGTTATCAAATTATTGCTATATTTCGTTTTGGAATCCACAACAAAATTCACTTTTTTCCTTTTTTTTTCTAATAATGAAGTTACTTTAAAAATAGTCTCCTGAATAAGTAAACAGTGTTGACTGAAGGAAACAGCGGCAATGGAAATTATCTCAACTAAAAATACTTTTCAAAAGGAATAACTAGTAAAATCCCCAAACTGAAATAATCTATATACTGTAAGTTTAATGCTTGTTATATTTTGACTCACCCCATTCAACCTTAACCTGTTAGAAGTTAGCCAGAAAGTCAGACAACTACCTCTGTTGTTACTAAGGGGACAGTAAGAGCGATTCACCCTACTTGTCTCCAACATCTGCTTTATGTAAGTAAGCAAGACTCTGTGGCGGTGCATGCAGTGCAAGGGGTTCCTAAACAAAAAATGCATCCAGTAAAATATTATGAGTCTATATTAGCAGAGAGAAATACAACTCTGAGAGACATATTTTGATGTTTATATTCAGATAGAATATCAATTTAATTTCTAGGAAAATGTGGATGCAGCAAGGCCCTCCAGATTTCATCATGTTAATTAGTGGGGTTTTGTCATTACTTCTACCTGAAGAAATATTTTTAAAACAGCACCTTAACTTACAGTACATACTATACTATGACATTGCACATGTGAATAGGGGAGGTGAGTCTGTGGCATTCGATGCAGTTTAACAGGTTTACCTAGCTAAGCCATGTAAATATATCTAATGACAATTAAATTAATGTGTTAAGATTATATGAGACAGTGCTTGCTGCTGTTAAATCAGAGCTGCTGGCTCTGTGCATAGCATGCTCGCGCATCCAGGCTTCAGTGGATTTTATGAAAAAGCCTTTTTGCTAAAGCTTACAAAGCTTTTCTATACCCCAATTTATGTCCCTATTGATCTGTTTTGTGAAAACAGATTGAATTAGAGCATTTTACAAAAAAAAGGTCAATATCAGTTTTCTGGAATCTGAGACTTAGGGTGAAGTACAGAGCATATCATGGCTCTGTATGGAGCAAAACTGAAGAAAAGCTGGGGTTTTTTTATTTTTCCCCAGAAGGAGTTTTCAGTCTCCTCAGCAAGGCTAAGACATTGAAGACCAAGAGCCAGATTTTCCCTTTACATTATTCAGCTCCAATTTAGCCCTGTTTTAATTTCCACAGTGGTAAAATCTGTATTAAAGTGTGTGCTTACTTCTGTTGACCATTCCTAGAACTTTCTTTTGCAAAGTGGTACTGAAAAAGATGCTTGAGATGCACTGACTTCAAACCATCTTTTCAAAGATATTTAAAAATGACATATACATCTAAGCTACTAATTCAAAATTAGTTTATTTCCCTGTACCCATCTTCAGATGGCAAATAGGGGGTTTTTAGAAGGCTGGGACTTAACTCATTTAAATATATTTCTGTTGTAGTTGAACTACCTCCATTTTTGTACCATGTAAGAGTTAAGTATAACTAAGAATTAAGTGTTGTTTCATTGCATCACCTGAGATAGAAAGTGTTTGAATGAAAACATGCCTTAAAAATAGGTTAATTTCCAAATTTAAGATAGGAGCTTTGCAAAGCTGGGACCTGTACCCTTATCACCTTGCTTATTCCTATGACAGAAAGATAGTTTTCTAGGATACAAAGAAGGAAATGTTTAAGTGAAGTCAACAGTGTGAGAGCAATCTATTTAACAGTAAGTACTTGACGTAATTTGAAGTTAGACAGTATGTCTAATAGGAATAGCCCAATTTTTGTGGCTATAGCATCTTGACAACTCAGAATTTGACTTTAGCCATTTAATGAAACTCTGTGTCATATGGTTTCAGATGAGTGTCTTAACTCTTTTGGTAGGTAATACTGATATGGTCATCAGAGTTTTGCTGGATGCAGGATTTACAAATGAACTTGCCCAAAATTATTGGAGTAAACTGTCTCTGTAAGTATTCTTTTTATTGACTGTGATTTTTTGGATTCTTTTCAAAGTTTAATAATAAAATAATATACATGTGTGTGTATATACAGATATACAATTAATGTTTACACAGGATAACTATTTGATTTACAGTTATGGACTTAAATGGCAACCCTTGACATAGGAACTTGTGAGAATTTAAGTCAGTTTTCATTTTAAATCTTATTTCTGTTTACAGTGATGGAGTTGTTGCACAATTTGTTGTTACAGATGGTGGCATTACTAGAGTCTTCCCCAAAAGGTAACAACTATTATAAAATAGTATAATATCATTTTGAAACCTGAAAGGATGTAATGTTAAATAATGGATTTATTGAATAAAACCCAACTTCTCCTACAGTCTAATCTGAACTGATAAGTATGAGATGAATGGAATATCTTGTTTTTCTTTGATTTTACCTGTGTCACTGCTTGAAACTGATTTGTAACATTATTTCCATAACAGATCCTTGTAATCCAACTTTTTAATCAGTGTAGAGTAGCAGTAAAAGCAGTGCCCTTGTAGTAGTAGTGGGGCCATGCTATCTCTAATTACTCCTAAGCACTCATTTGTTTGGCAGGCTGCAAATACTGTAAAGCAGTATGCAATTTCTTTTTTAGACTAATAAGAGCAGACCAAATAGTCCAGGCACTTACTAGAGAAAAATGTATCATTACCAGAGGGCAAAAAGGGAATGTGAAAGTGGTCATATAATAAACTAGACACACCCATCAGCGACTGGGAATAGTGAGGGCACTAGTACAGATATACTGATAAATGACAAATTTATCTGGTTTCTTAGGTTATTCTGTGTTTCCCCAAGATGGGAAAATGGCGATGAATTTTACTCCCCAAACCAGTTTCTCTTCTGTTTTGGTGTTAATGATATAAAATCTTTTGGGATGATTTCTCAAGAAATAGCATGTGCTATAAAGGTTTGATTATATTTTGTTGTAAATACTGTTGCAGTTATATTTGTGTCAATATATCTAAAAGTGATGAGACAAGTTCTGTGTTGTTCCAAGAATACTATTTTTTTTTTTTTCCAAAGCTTTTCTTAATAATTACACCTGGCAGTTAACCAGTGAAAGCTGAAAAGTCTGAGGACTATATGAATGAATCTCACATTATTTCCAACTGGGAAACATTTAAAAGAAAAAAAAAACAAACCTGCAGCACAGCTTTAATGAGACTCTAACTATCTTTTTTTGATCACTATTTTTTGGTGATTTAGGGCAGGAGAAGACTGGTTGGAAAATGCTGAAACTTATGAAGTCAGCTTCTATAAACGGAGTTTAGATAATGACAACTATATTTTCACAGCCCCGTACTATAACAGTAAGTCATCACTGTTTTGAAATGTCAGAGCTAGCTAGCCCAGTATAAGTGTACTTGTGGAAGTTTCCCATACCGGTTGAGGACACTGACAAAAGATGAGTGATTCATAAGGACGCTTCATAAGGAAAAAAATTTTGAGATGTCCCAAGTTTTTTCCATTATTAAGGAAAAGGTAGCTAGAAGGGCACTAAACAAGGGACATCATAATTTGTCATCAACTCTGGTGGCCCTGTAAGCTCAGAATTAACAAAGCAGAAAACATGCAGAGTACTGGGGTTCATTTATTATATGGAAACGCTGTTCTACAAAGATGCTTTGGCAGAATTATTTTAAAAGGAAGTGAAAGCAAATTGCACTCGGGGACAATATCACTACCTAAAAAAGCCATATTTGAGCTGAGTTCCCTATACTTCCTCAGCACCAAACCTAACTTGGCAGAGCAGATATAAGGGACCGGAGTCCACAACTCTGTCCGCTGCACCGCTGCTTAATTTAAACTTTGCTTTTGAATTCTGTTTCAAGTTGCTGTTATTCACCAAAACCAGTCTGTCTGAAATACTGTGATATTTAAAACCTATATATGCACAATAGTAAGTGCTCGTTACTGATGTGAGCAGCATTAACCTTGCCAAGCTTGTCTAAAAGCAGATGCTACCACAAATGACTTACTCCTCTCTTCAACATATGGGATCTTTTATTGCTGTTATTTCATACTTATTTATTGCATCTTTTCTCAATAAAATATTAACAAGGTAATTAACTAAATTCCCTGAAGCCTTTGTTGTTCCTTAAAGAGCTCCAGGGAACATACTTTTAACTTGCTTTTTCATACTAAGCAGTGTTGAAAACAGGCTGAACTCTGTCAGAGAAGTAATTGTTGGTTAGTGAGTGGTGTCAGTATACCCTGCGTTGAAAAATACACAGACGACAGCAGGATAAAATCTTTGGCTCTGATCCTGGTTTTAACAGAGCTGCTCACACGTGTAAAGCTATTCATGGCTCTGTTTGCAGAAAAAAAAAAAAAAAAGGCTATGGTAACTTTATGAAGCAGTGAAACCGTGTACAAAAGATGAATGAAGAAAAGTAAACAAAAGTATTCTTAGTCGTCCAGATGTTAGTGATCTGACCTATTACAGGTGATAAATGTGTAGTACAACTGGGTGACCGCTTTTGAATAAGGATTTTTTTGAATCATTCTGGGTAATTGAATAATCATTAATTTCTGTTTCAGGGGAAGAGGCTTTTATATCAACCTAACCTTTCCCCCCCCTCCCCCCCTTCTATATTCTCAGAAAGTGGTGCCAATAGCTATGAAACAGGTATTATGGTAAGCAAGGCTGTGGAAATAACAATTAATGGGAAGCTTCTGAAACCAGCAGGTAAGATAGAGTGGTGCTGAAACTCTAAATAGATAAGTTATTTGGTTGTTGCTCAACAGTGAATTAGAAATTTAATTGAGATTTCAAAGGAATTTCACTTTATATAACATTCTTTTCTCTGAGTCTGTTTCAATCTTGCTAGTGGAAATCAAGCCAAAGATCTGGTTGTGTTTGAGTATGAGTGCTTAATTTATTAGTCTCATGAAGGATGCTGGTGGTCAGACAACTGAGCAAAAGTCGTATTTTATCCTTTTCCAATTTAATAATTTAGATGTTATTATAATTTTTCCCATTTTTTTAGGATTCTACAGTTACCTTTTTTTTTTTTTTCATTTTACTAAAAAAGACTTTCATGTATTTCTTGTTAGTTGTTGGAATAAAAATTGATGCAACCAGCTGGATGGAAAATTTCACAAAAACCACAATCAAGAGCCTGGTAAGCAATTGACCAAGTCTTTTTTGAACTTTATTTGCATTTCTCAAAGCTTCAGATGCAAATAGGTCTAATAGCTCTTTCTGCCAGAGTCACACTGATGCGTAGTTGCCAAGTAGTTGTGGTATTTAAATCATCCAAATGCACAAACTAAATCTATGTTGAAATAGGCTGTATTTTGTACGTGTCTTGTTTTCATAATTATAGAACATGGATAAAGACAAAGAAAAATTACATATTCCAGCCAGTAGGCTCCCTAAGATTGTGCTGTAGCAGTGAATAAAGTCTGCAAAAGAATCGGTGAATCTATTTTTACTTAATATGGAGGATGAGTAAGCAGTGAACAGTAAGGATTTATATTGCAACCAACATCACAGCATTTTAGCAGAGCTTAATGAAATAGGTACTTAAACCTTTCATTCTTTACAACTAATGCTTAGGTGTAAATGGGAAGGAGGAAAGACTAAATGGAAGCAAAACCTAAGGAATTAATAGTACATTGGGAAAGGAGAGGCACAAAATGAAGACAATTATGGAAGAATTGGATGAGGCAATGTTGCTTGGTTGGTAGTATATTAAGGGAATCGGTAACAGTGTCCGGCTGTTGTACGTGTTAGGGCTGTAGTTCAATGGGTGGGCAAATGCATTGCCTAAACATCAGAACAGTTAAGGACAAAAATACGTAACTGAAAAAGAGAAAGAAAAAAGAATCTCAGAATTAATTTGAGATGAATGACTGCAGCATTATCTGGTAGTTGTTTTGCTCAGGACATAATGCAAGGAGACAGTTATGTGTGTATGTATACACATATTGCAAGAAAAAGAGAAAAATGTGGTAGTAATCAAAGCCATAAAAGCTAACTGGAGATGACGGGCTTCCTTTATCACATGGGATTCCCATGCTTTGAGACTGGTGAAGATTTTCATGGTCAAAAAAGATACTTGGCAGCATATTTTCTAGGCATTCTTTCCATACTCTAAACACATGGAAATGTACATGTTCTTTCTCTTTGACTTTATATTCACAACACTGACATCCTGACAAGTCCTCCAAACTATTTATCTCTAATATATTGAGTATACTTAAAAAGGAAAATGTATCAGAGACTTTGTGAAAGACAGTAGAGATTGTGCTGTTGATAATTACTGAATGAAGGCTGTTCACAGACATACTTGTGATAAACAACACACATTCAAAATTAATTTAAGTTAATATACAGATATTGAAAATCAAATCACTTGTTCTTGTCTTGATTAATATCACTGCAAAATACAGTTTCTTTGAAACATTTTTGTGAAGATTACTGTACTTCTGGTTTTTTTAGTGCAACAGTGAAATCTGTGGCTGTGAGAGAAACAGTATGGTAAGAATATGTTCAGTTCATGAATATCTGGTAGTTTATGAAAAATCACTCATTCTGTCTAGATCTATCTAAGATAACGATTCTATCATTATTATTTGAGGGTTAATTTTACATAAAACAGGACTTAGTCATTTGTGTCTTGAGAAAAAGATGAATATTAGCAGGGGAGGGGACGAAAGAGGGTATAGAAGTCAGGTGAAGTGGTTGTTGCAAGAATCGTTGCAATGAGGTTATGAGAACTAAAGGGAAGAAAAAATAGAGTAATAGAGAATGATGTGAAGAAAAATGTGAGAAAAATATAACAGTAATTTTCAAAGCAAGAGGGGAACCCTGCAGAAAGGGAATAATAATAATTAAAAAAAAAAAAAAGCAACTGTGAAAAAGAACACTAGAAGTACCTTAGGGAAGGGTAAATGCAAACTGAAAAGCACCAGAGTATGTGATATGCCCTTCAACAGTCATTAGACATCCTCCTCTCCTCTCTCTCCATTCAGGATTTGGGGATCCCATAGCTCTGCTAGCACTCAGGAGAGCACAGCTTCAGGGGCTATCACAGTATCAGATTCTGCCATGTGCTTAAAAGCTTTCTCTGCTCAGGTCTTCTGTGAGTTCTTTTGTGGAGTGTGAAGATCATTAAATGCAAGAGTTACAGCAAAAAGGGTACTCTGGGAGGTTATCTGTTTGGCCTCACTGCTATCTCTCCAATCTCTGACTGCAAGGATCTTTTACAAAGTGCAAAGCATAGGGAACCAGTGGGCCTCCCATTCCTGCACCTGACACCTGAAAGAAACCCACTACAGTCCTTGGCAAGTGAAAATAATCATTACTAGCAAGCTGAGAGTCTGCCCTTCAGATTTTTACCATTAAAAGCTGCAAATGGAAAAGGACTTTAAGCACGGCTGAAGCACATGAGAAGTTGAGGTCCCTTATTATGAGTTGAGATTCAGTTATAATCAGATTTAATAAGGATATAGCACTCTTAGAGCTAACAAAGTATTGAGCAAATAAGAATTTACAAAACAGCTTTTATGAAATTAAGCCACAAGTAAGCCTTTGATCTGTACAAACTTTTATAATACTGATAATTCTACTTATTATAGCTTAATATTGGCCCTTGGCTATGGGGTTGTGATTTAGCCTGAGCCACACAGATTTGAAGATACTTCTGAAGTGTTGAATAAAAAATAGTTTCTTACAGTGTTCTCTTGACAAATCCTTCCTGCAAAACATATTTTACTTTCTTACAATAGCATGTGGACTGTGTTATCCTTGACGATGGTGGATTTCTTTTGATGTCAAATCGGGATGAATATACCCAACAGGTATGTATATTTTTAAGGACAAAACATGAAAAACAATAAGAAGAAGTTTTAAGAGGAAAAAAAACCACAGCATTTCATTCTCAACTTTTCTGAATCAGAAAAAATTTGCTGTATCAGAAATTCCAGTTATTTTGTTAGTCTTTTTCACAGCCTTATTTATGGTTCAAGATGCCATACTTCTACCAAGTTGTGTTTTTTGTGCTCTGCCCTTAGGCTGGTAGGCTGCTGATGGACCTATGATGGTGAGGGCAACTACTATGGCATCCACGCACTTTCTTTCTCATATTCCTCTTGCTCTTCCCTAAGCAGAGTGGTCTCATTGATGGTGCATTTAATAATTACTGTCTAACTGGAGTTCTCCAACCAAGAGAAATAGTCAAACAAAGAAATAAATACATAAGCAGCACAACTGGGTGGGTTGTGTAGAGGAAAAAATAGTGTGTGGGGGAGGCAAATCAGAACTGCTCACTTTTTTATGAGAAAAAATGCTTGCAAATACTTTAACTTATCTCTGTATATTCTCCCTCATCAGATTGGAAGATTCTTTGGTGAAATTGATCCTGGCCTGATGCGAAACCTGATTAACATGTCCCTGTATGCCTTTAACAAGTCGTATGACTATCAATCAGTCTGCGATCCTGAAGAAGAACCAAAGCAAGGAGCTGGACTTCGTTCTGCCTATGTGGTCAGTAGTCCTTTGTGTGGCGACTGCCATTCCCTTAAAAGTCTGCAGGTGTTTATACAAATAACATAATCTCTGATGGTTTTTTCACAGCCTACAATAACGGATATTTTGCATCTAGGATGGTGGGCTTCAGCAGCTGCCTGGTAAGTACAAGTGTGTAGGAAATCTGTGTGTCCAAACTAGAATTATTCAGTGGGTTGAAACTGTATTAGTCTTTTTTTTTCCCCTCCATAAAACTGCTCTGAACCCTTTGTTTCTGCAGTTTCTCATGGTGAAAATTCTTAGCTATGTCTCCAAACTCCTTGGAAAATTCAGTGTTCTGTCAACAGTTGAATTCAAAACTACTCTTGCCAGGTTTTGTGACTGTGTGTTCTAACTCTACAAACTCGGCTTCAGGAAGCAGAGTTGGGATTAATGGTCTGAGTCTGATTGGCAGGTGTGAAGGTTCAGATGAAATTATTACATTTAGAATTATCGATCACTTGGTTCCCTATTTCAGAATATCATCTTTCCTTTTTTCTAGTAAGAAGTCTCAAGAAAATCAATGTTTGCTTTTCAGTGAATCATTTTACAAAAACTCGTGAATCATAGAATAGTTTGGGTTGGAAGGGACCTTTAG